TCTGGGAACCTGAAGCATACCTACTTTGGGCAGCTAAGTTGGATGAGCAGAAATGGCTGAAGATGGGCTCATATCCTGCGCATAACTCAGCCCTCGGAGCAAGGGAAGAATTGCACTACATTTTCATTACAGTTTTACATTTCATTTATCACTTGGGAGACCTTGTTATTAGAAAGAACGAGTTTGCAGTTGTACATTGATCTCACCCATTTAATAACCTTGAGTGAGAAAACAGTCTCAGACATCTGTCTGTAAGCAGGCAACCAAGCTCGGAGGGCACCAAGGATTCCACGTTGGTGTCTGTTGCATGTATATATATATTTATTTTAAGTAATGAAAGTGAGGGTGTGGTGTTCAAATTTTCCACTTTTAGTTTCAGGTAATTAGCCTTCTATATCTGTATGGTCTTACTATTTTCAGATGATTGACGAACAAGAAATTAAAATGTGAAGCTGAGTGGTTTCATACGGAGATCATTATATTGATGACTGATTAGCATCGTAGCTTGATTCTCAGCGTAATGACACCCTTTTTCTGCTGAGCTTTACTGATCTGGTCCCTTCCATATAAATGGGGACCACAGTAATTCTCATTAGTATAAGTATTGGCAGGTTTTAATTGTTTCTGAGGTGTTACTTCAGTGGTAAGTTGTTTCAATTTTCTAGAAAATTGTTTTGAGTCCCTACTTTGTATTGCAGTTTCATGTGTTAAAATTAGTAACTATGGATTTCTATTCCCATGCTTGATATTCATGGAAATTGCCACTACAGATGTGAAACCTCTTCATGTTATGGTGGCTCCATGACAAGTGTGCCACATCTTAATAGATGATGTGGTCAATTAATAGAGGAAGCTGGTGTCCAGGTGAGACAAGGAACACATTAAATCTAACTGAAGTAGTCAAGGTGACTCTTAAGATTGCTTTCTCCCTACCTTTTATATCTCTATAAAACCTTTCCTTTAATCCTGAAAATCAGGAGATTTTCTGGAAAGAGATATATAGGATTGCATTTGTGACATATAGTATGCTATATATTTAAATGATTTCAACTGCTAAGTAAAGTTGATAAACTATACATACACACAAGCCAAAAATCCTGGATAGAACACAGCTTCCCCACTTAAAGCACACATGTGCAATTCCTTCTTAGCATAGGGGACCCAAAAGAACAGGATGGAATTGGAACAAAACAAAAAGGATAGATGCACTG